CAGGCAGCGGCCGCGGCGGCCGCATGCAAATCGGCTCCCTGCCCCCACGCCCCTCCCCCCGAGAGGCGGGCGGCAGGCGGGGAGGAGAGGACGGGGGAGGGGACGCGGGCCGGGGAGGGGGCGGCGAGGAGCTCGGTAGAGGGGCGAGACCGGCCCCGGCGCCGCCGGCCGGTCAGGGAACGGCGGGGCGAGTCTGCAGCCCGCCTAGGTGCCTCTTGCGCGCCGGGGTCCCTCGGCTGCCGGTGGTGCTGATGCTGCCGCTGATGCTGATGCTGCCGTGGATGCTGATGTTGATACTGCCGCTGGCGCTGATGCCGCCTGCCGCCTGTGTGCGCTCCAGCCTCGCCCGCATCCTCGGTGCGCCGCGCCCGGCCCGCTCCCTGGGGCGCCCGGCCGCACCGCCGCTGCCCCCACCTCAAATCCTCACGTCACCCTCAGGGGCCCCGGCGGGCAGTTGCTGGATGTCCGGCGTCGACAAGCCACATTCCGACACAGGGGGCCAACCTAGCAGCCCCTCGCCCAGCCCTGCACGCCGAGATGCACGGTGGTTGCTCGGCGAGCCCGGGCGATGAGGTGCACCTGTTCTTCAGCCGGCCCGCAGCCAACCCTCGGTCAACGCTCTCCGGGAGAAACCAATCCTAGCACAGCGCGGAGGGCGAACGGCCGGGCTCGCCTCGCTCCCGCCGCCCGCGGCTCTGCGCCGCCACTGCTGCCGCCACCCGTGAGTCAAACTCCAGCAAGCTACGCCGCCGCCCGGGAGCGAGGTACCCGGGGGCGCACCCCGACCAGCACGCAGAGGCTACCAAACAGCCCCGGCGCTGCTGCAAGTCGACCCAGGCTAGCAAAAAAATGGGAGACAGCGACCGGGGTCCCGGACGTCGTGACCGCTGCTCCAAGCTATTTCCCCAACTCAACCAGGCGGCTTCGGGTGTGTGTGTTTGTGTGCGGAGTCGCCGCGGATGGGGTGGGATTCGGACAGAGTAGCACCTCCCACCAACACCTAATGGTGCTGTCTTACTGCGCGCTTGATAAATAAATGATCCAAGCGGACCCCCATTGGAGATGTATAGCACCAGGTGCTCTGGATCAGCCGCGTACAGGTCTCCGGTGCGGATCCTGCGGGGTCAGACACTGAAGCTGCGGGGAGAATGCGCACGGGCGTGTTAGGTGGGAGGGCGCCTCTGAGCTCCCCTGCCCCGCCGCGGTGCGGCTGGACAGAGAACCACCTTTGCTTTGGAGTTGCCGAGAGATGCTCCTGAAGCAGGCGACCTTTCTGTGATCAGATCTCCAAGCCATTAACTTACCTTTTTAAAAGTATTATCTTTAAATGTAGGTACGCCCTGGGAAACAAGGCAAGAGGCAAAAATGAGAAAAGATGCTAGCTACTCTCTTTAATTTCGTAGCCGGTTTCTTCCTTTTGGTAGAGGGAGATCAGAGTATTTCCAATCTCAGGTACACTGTTGTACCTCCCTGAGGACCAGGTGGCACAGACAGGAAACAGGCAAGAGCCGGTGCTAACAAGAAACTCATACGCTGCTGGTGTAAAGCGATGCTTCCCATATTATCCAGATTCCTAAGCTAAGGTGGAAATGAGTCTTTTTTATTTTTATTTTTTACAAGTACCTAGCAAGAATGAGAGGTTGAGAACAGTATCTTCCTTATTATGTACCTCCCAGGTCTGTCCAAGAATGCAGACAGCATTCTCCTGTCCTGTGATGCACTCCACAGAGATGAAGTTTCCTAGGTATCCATTTTATTCACAGGTTAAGAGCAAAAGAGAATGCAACTCTGAGGAGATGGCAGAGTGCAGAGAATATGTTCAAACAGGAAGCCCTTGGGGAATTGTGCCTACCTGAGTTCTTTGCACAGGCATGATTAATAAATTATTTTTTGATGGCAGTAATATGGCTGTCACCTCTCTCAGCTCTAAAACTGAGATTTACCCCATAGGAAAATCTTTGGTTTTTAATTTAACGTAACATGCCCTAACCCAGTAGTGCTGAATGATGCCTTCCAGAATTGCAATTGGGGAAAAAACTAAACAAACAACAACAAAACATTAAATCCATGCTCTTTTGGCTTTCTAATGCAAGACACAAGTAAAAATGTCTTAACCTTCTGTGGGCTGTCAGGCATCTGCTCCTTGCCTTTCTTCTGCAGTAAAATAAAAGCATTTCCACAATATAGTAGGTGCTGCTGTTGACACTTGAGAAAGAAGATTTCTTTTCCACACTTAGTTCATCCTCATTCCTCCTAAATCCCACCCCCAGTATTCTGTGTTCTTTGCCTTCTTCCTCCCCCGCTGGAATAAATCCAAAACACAAAGAGAGGTGCTGCAATGCTTTTGTGGGTAAATGCTCTCTTCCTGAAACCACAATTGGACAGTATCCACATTCTCTTCATTGCTTCCCAAAGCCTTCTTCCCTTCTCTTTCCAATTCCCTCTCCTCCTTTCTACTTGGATTTAAAAGCTTATTCGTGGTTCCCTATTGAGTTCATATTTTCCTGGAACACCAGTCACTGTATATCAGCTGCTCTTACAAGGAAGCATCTCCAGAGGGAGCAGGGCAGCAGAGCCCATTTGATGCTTTTTTATTAATGATCATGTGGTAACAGACCATCCAGAGATGTTTAGTAGATATAACTGTCCTCACTGTAAAGCTGTATTGTAAGGCTTTCTGGTAGTAGGTGATAAGCATTGGACTGAAACCGGGGGACCACTGTACACAGTAGAGTCAATGTCAAGGGCTGGACTTTCTTGCTGCTCAAGACTAGACAGCATTCCATTAACAGGCAGGATTTAGAAGCACCAAGGAAGCAAGCCTCTGGGAATGTCTGTGAGTGATCTTCTAGTTTAGGCTAACTGAGGCAGAAAGACTCACTCAAACTATAGTCTGTGGGCTGATGTCTAGTTCTGCATAAAATGGAAAAAAAGATATTAAGTCTTCCTCTGTTTCCTGTGGCTGCAATATGAGTAGCTGCTGCCACACTCTGCCACCATCCCTGCCTTACCATAGGAACTGCATCCCCAAGCTGTGGACAAGAACCAAGCCTTCCTTCCTTAACTTACCTTAGCCAGCTATTTCATCACAACAGTGAGACCTGTAACTAAGACAAGTCTTACCTACCTGTTAAGAAGCATCCTGGTTCTGATGACTCATACCTTACCGAGACCGCACACTGGGATAGGTTCATATAAACACACAGTTTCAAGTTAGGACTCTGCCCCTGATAATAATGAAATCCTTTTGGAACAGTTTTTCTCAACTATGAAATGGAGGTGCTACTTAATTCTATAAAACTGTATCGCTAAGCAGACTGTTAGCTATGGTGTCTTTGAAGCATCACCACCAGCTACTTTCCTGAAAATATGAGACCATCTCCAAACCTCTACACCAAACCCCAAGTTCAATTAGCTGCTAAGCCATTTACTTTCTATCTTTATAATATGATTTTTAATGATGAGAACCTTATTAAAAATCCTTAATCAAAAACTGCAAGGCAGGGAGTAACTTTATTTGACCAAACCTATCCAATGTGTCATCCATCAGAGTTCTGAAGAAGGTAATCCCTACTTTGAGAAGCTCTCCCAGCCTAGGAATGATATTTAACTATAAAGGAGTTTTAGCTTCAGGGAGAAGTGTTGCCTTTGTTACCTTCCTTTTTTTTTACTTAGCTCATGCATCATGAACATCAGATGTGAGGCTAAGAGGATACAGTAGAGCACAGGTCCCTCCTTTCACCTAGTTTCCAATGTGGGAAGAGTGGTTGACAGTAAAGAAAATAAACTAGAATAACAAAAAATAATGAGTACTCTAGTTTGGGTCTACAAAGATCAGGCATGCTTGGCATGGTTATAGAAGATATTTGAGCAAATATCTCTAGCTGGTTTACCATCACCCTTTCTAAAGCCATGGGAACGTCACAATCATACCGATTAGATGATGGAGTCTCCTTATGAACTGTGGGCTCAATTGATATGACAGTCACTTAGAAGCCAGTATATCTCACAAAACTATAGTAGTCTCCATTTTCCTCCCTTGAATCAAGTTCAGATCCAGTGTGATAACCTGGACACATCTGACAGTATAAACATTGTCTAATTGCTAATGTCCACCTTTTACATGGCTGCAACCTATTTCCTGTATCTGAGTAAACAGGAATATTTACTATTAATTACTATTGCTATTACTATTACTATGACTATGACTATGACTGGAACTAAAGGAGTTCTGTAGAAATTGTAAAGGTCTTCTGAGCAAAATATGCTGCATGTCTTTCATCAAGTCATGAAGTCATCTGTTTCTTTGTGCTCCTCATTGACTCAATGTGTAAGATCAGCCCAAATGGGCAAGAGAAAAATCTGTAGACCAATGTCTTCATAACATCAAGGCTTCAAGGACTCTTGCACTGCAACATATCATGAATAAAATAAACAACAAAATATGTGGGTGATCCAGAATAAATGTAGAAAGGTGAGGAATTCCAGTTGTATCCATATCCTAGTTGGAAAAGATAGTAAGATTATCCAAAGACTCAAGTATTTGGACTGT